TCTTGGGCGCAGTCGTGGCCTAATGGTTAGAGAGTCGGACTTGCAACCTGAAGGTGAACCTGAAGGTCACAGGTTCGGCAGGGACTGTAGGTGGGGGAAGTGAATGACCAGCGCTCTCTTCCACCCTCCAAGTATGGGTCACCCTACTTGGCCACACTTCACTTAGATAAAAGTTCCATCCAGTATGATTAAAGGGTCAGCGATTCTCCCTCGGTGTTTTTACCACAGAGCGATGTCTAGTAGAACATTAAACTACTGAAAGCACAGTCCACAGATTTACGTAAACATAGATAACAATTCAAAACTTAGCTTACCTTGGAGATGGAAGAATATTTCCTGTGATTTAGATAAAGTTTATGAGTTTAGGAGGTTCCGCTCTCAACCGCCTTTAACAATTTCCTATAAAACAATAAATAACTGCGGGTAGTTTTTACTTTCTCTTTCTCATGAGGGTGAGGGACGGACAGCTGTGCTGTACAGGTTTCGGAGAGAATTTGCACTGCGGATCTGAAATTACTGAGTATCTCACGCCACCCCTAACACCTACCTAGAGTTCATTTATATGCTATTTATCCTCAAGTGAATGTTTCATAGACAGTTGATTGGGAAGTTGATTTGAGGTTCGAACAAGCAGGATGAACATGGAGGCATATTTACCTTTCATCGTCCTCAACATTCTCAGTGTGCATCAGGGTTCTGGTGCTTTCCATCTAACACAATGCCTGAATGGCGGTGTTAGTGGCGCAGTTCCTGTTTAGACGTATTTCCTGTTTTGACGTATTTCCTGTTTTCAAATCTTTGCTGGGAGTTTATCGCCTGTGTCTGTGTCGGTATTTACTGTTTTCCTTTTTTCCATCAATAATTTTGTGCTATCATTTTCTATTTTTGTATTTTTCACTTTCCCTTTCTGAAGCATTTCTAAAGACAGCAAGTGGAGGCCATCCACATCAGATCTGTCTAAAATAATCTCCACAAGGCTTTGTCTAAGGTACATTAAACACACAACATGGCAAACATTCAGCTTGTTCGGTGTGTTGAGTGCAGGATGTTCAGTCATTCTTCCACCATCATTAGTAATAGCTTTATTTGTGCTAGGTGTATATTAGCTAGCTTTCTGATGGAGAAGATTGCAGCATTAGAGGTGCACATCCAGACTCTAGAGAGGGCTGAGAGTGAGAGCAGCGTAGTTTCTGTAGAGGAAAGTCTGGATGCCTTAGGTGGAGTTAGCAATCCCCCAACTCAAATATGCTCTGGCCCCATCCCAATGCGGCATGGCGATGTAGCTTACAGCAGGTTATGATCGCTGAACTGCTGGATGTCAAGGTGGTGCTCCGAAAACAAACTCGGCTTTATAGATTTTTGGAGTAGTTTTGAGGGCAAGGCTGGCCTGTTAGGACAGGACTGTATCCATCCCACTCCTGAAAGTGCTGCTCTCATTTCTTGTAGCATAGCTCATAGTCTCAGAACAGGATTAGTTAATCGGTGACAATCCAGAGCCAAGGCCAGGGAGCAGACAAGCTGGCTAAACCGACCGTCTGCTAGCTGCACTGAGTCGTCACTCAGATTCCATTATATTGAGACTGTGTCTGTTCCCTGAGCTAAACAAAAATGTAGAAATACTCAAAGTTTGTTTTAGTAGCCTAATCAACATAAAATTAAATCATATCGAATGCACAGCCAGCACCGTTGATCTGAAGCTAGGAAGCTGTTGAATATTAGATCTCTTACATCTAAAGTGCTTACTGTTAATGAAAATATTACTGATCAGGAGTTTGATGTATTGTGTAACAGAAATGTGGATTAAACCAAATGAGTATGTAGCATTAAATTAAGCTAATCCTCCCGGGTACAGTTACATACATCAGCTTCATCTAACTGGCAGAGGAGGAGGCGTCGCAGTCATCTATAATAATAATCTAGACATCACACAAAAACCTAGTCATAAATTCAACGCGTTTGAATTTTTTTTTTTTCTTAACAGAAAATATGTAGCCACAAAAAAAATAAGTCTACCAAGGCGAATCCACTAATTATTATTTACAGACCCCAAGGGCCTTATTCTGAATACGTTTGTGAAGTTTCAGATTTCATCTCTAACCTGGTTGTTTCTTAAGACCAAGCATTAATTGTTGGAGACTTTAATATTCATTTTGATAATCCAGAAGACCCTCTGAGAACAGCAGTTGTGTCCATTCTAGATTCGGTAGGGGTTAATCAGAATGTAGGCCCCACTCATAGTGGTGGTCACACTCTTGATTTAATACTAACATTCGGATTAAATATAGTCACATTTCTTCAGTCTGAAGTTATCTCAGATCATTACCTCATCTCATTTAAAATGTGTCTTGAGGGTGGAGGAAAGCACTGGTCATTCACTCCCCCCACCTACAAGTCCTGCTGACCTGAGACTCAAACTCAAGACCTTCCAGTTTACCTTCAGGTTACAAGTCTGACGCGCTAACCATTAGGCCACGACTGCCCCCACAATACTCTCATGAATAAAGAGCAACTTCTTCCAACGATCCAGGATCAATTTCGTGATATGTGCATTTTCCAGCATAATGGAGCACCATGTCACAAGGCAAGAGTGATAATGAAGTGGCTCAGAGATCAGAACATTTTGGATCCATGGCCAGGCAACTCCCCAGATCTTAATATCATAGATAACCTGTGGTCAATCCTCAAAAGGTGAGTGGACAAGCAGAAGCCCACAAACTCCGGGCTTCTTCTTCGGGTCATCAACTCCGAGCACTAATAAGGCAAGAATGGATTGCCATCAGTGAGGATTTGGCCCAGAAGCTGATATTGCCAGAGCGAATCACAGAGGTTATGAAGAAGGGTCAACACTGTAAATATTGACTCTTTGCATATATTGAATGTGTTTGTCAATAAAAGCCTTTAAAACTTATGAAATGCTTATCATTGCTTTCCAGTATACCATAGAAACATGAAAAAAAAAATTCTACAAATACTGAAACAGCAAACTTTGCAAAACGGAAAATTTATGTCACTGCCATGGCTGTAGTAGCGATGACTTCATGAATGCATTCAGTGGCGAAATTGAAAATGTCAGGCACAAAAATCAGAATATTAATTCAAAGAAAGACAATTTGCTAAATAACCATCCATGTTTCTTCATTTTGAGATTCGGAGTCATCAGTATGATCAGTATGATCAGTCTTAAGACAGCATTATGGACTGTATAAAGATTCTAGCGGCTGTGTGAGGGATACCCTTAGCATCTCAGCTATTTAAATAAGTTTGGCAAAATAATCCCTTTACAGCTGTTGGCTATAGATACAGAAAACTTGAAACACCTCATAGTAAAAGAGTGATTGGTGGAAGTCTGAAAATGTCATAACAGTAACCAGACATGGGTATCTGCGAACTCCTGTATGTAGAAAAGAGAGCACTTCCCTCTGAGAGTGTTATGCTGCCCTGTAAATATAAATATAAATATAAATACAGAACTGTACAAAAGTCTTGGCACCCTATTGTTTTTTTTTTAGTACAAACTTTGTTATATATGTTTATTTTCTGACTTCTACATTATTGATTCAGTACAAAAACTTTTTAGATTCCAAACGTTAGTT